GATGTCTGCTTACTTTGTAAAAGACTGTATACCAAGAAAGACACATCAGAATTTTCATAGTGTGCAAATTTGATAAACCAGTTCTTTCACTTGTGCCGTAGTTGATCAGCTCATCTAACTACCCACACAGTGGGGTTTTTGTTTTGTTTTTGTGGTGGTGGGAATTGAACCTACAGCTTTTGCACTGAGCTACAACCCACAATCCCCCTTTTATTTTTTTTTTAAAGTTTTGAGATAGGGTCTGAGTCACTCAATTGCCCAGTAAAATGGTGGCTTTTGTTTTTGTATTGAGCTAGGATGGTGTACTGTGCTCCAACAAGGTCAAGGTCAGTGCTCGGAGTACACAATCTTACAAAGCACATGAAACATCATTTTCTGCTAGTAAAAGGTATTACAAGTTTTTTGGGTAGTTGCTTTATATGGGAAGAAGACTTTTCAAAGGAAAAAAGTGTTTACATTGGTTTTGCTTGAATTTATGTTTTGATTGGCTAATGGAACTAGAATAAATATGTTTTAGATTTTGAGCAAATAAAATCAAGTACAAATATTTTCTGAGAGCATTATTGAGTGTTTTAGAATATTATCCCTTAAAATAATTGGCTGTGGAATTGCCAGAGTTGGGTTTCCACTATAATATTATTTTTCTAATGCAATAACCATAAACAAATGGTAATTTTAAAATTTGGCACCAAGGAATTACTGCAGGCAGGAGCTGGAATCAAAGTCAATAGCTGTGTTAGATATATTGATTAAAGAGCTTGCTTCCAGTGATAGGCACACAAGGTATCTTTGAGATGTGGATGATAATGTTGCAGTAACAGCTAATCTGAGCAACTAAATTATGCAGAAACCTGAGAAAAAGTTTGGCAAATCTAAGAATAATAAAAAATTTTTGTAAGGAGGGAAAGAAATAAAGACCATTCAGTAGCAGCCTTTCTCCCTAGTAATGGTGAGCAGTCATCCCAAAGCCACTTCATGATCGAAGAAGAGTACAGAAATTCTCTACACTACAAATTCCAGGCTTCATAAGATCCAAAAGGATTGCAGCAATATTGAGTGAATTTTATTAGCAGTTTCACAATCCAGTCTTATCAGACACTTATTGTGCCATATTGCCATTCAGGAAAAGCTTCAGAGAAGCTTAGTCACCTGTGGCATTGGAGTGTGTGCAAGGTCACAGAAATCCTGACAGTCTGTTTTTTTGGTTTTTCTCCGGTACCGGGAACCGAACTCACGACCTTGTGCTTGCCAGGCAGGCGCTTTGCCGCTGAGCTAAATCCCCAGCCCCCAATCCTGACAGTCTGAATGAGCCTTTTATCGCTCTCTGAGAGGGCTTATTGCTTGCAGTTACCATGTTTAAAAACTATTACTTTAATCCACAGGTACTTTTTAATCTCTAGGCCACAGTTCCACCCTGGAATCACTGTTTAGCTCAGGAACAGATGGGAAACTTTAGCTAAATTTCTTTGTTAGAAAGTTAATTGCAGGGCCAGGCACGGTGGTGCATGCCTGTAATCCCAGCACTTGGAGGCTGAGGCAGGAGGATTGCCACTAAGGTACATAGCAGGACCCTGTCCACCCCCACCAAAAAGGAAAGTAGGTAGGTTGAATTGTAGTCAGTATTGTGTATGCCTATGAGCCATGCACTCAAGAGGCTGAGGCAGGAGGGTCATCATGGATTTAAGACTAGCCTGGCTACATAGTGAATTCAAGGCTAGTCTGAACTATATAGCAAGGTTGTCACCAAAAAATAAATCAAAAAAAGTTGAATTACAGTAGATTATTGTTTTTAATTTTTAAAAAGGCCTCTGCTGTTGTTCTTATGCCTGGCCTACTTCCCAGTTTTGAACTCTGCCACCTTCTGTTTGTTTTGGGATGCGTGCATTTCCCCACTTTTTATTATGAAAACTTGAAGAAAACAGAAAAGTTGAAAGGATAAAACAATGATCAGTGTATTTACTGTGTGTATTTTGGTGGAATAATTTGGAAGTGGCAGAGTTGATGATTTGTCATTCCTGAGTGCACCAGCCTAGCCAGTCATGGTGGCTCATGCCCAAAATCCCAGCTCTTTGGGGGCTGAGACGGGAGGATCCCTGGCAGGTTGAGGGCATCCTGAACTACATAGGGAGACTTTGTGTCAAAAACCAAAACCATGATCAGGTGTGGTGGCACACATGTATAATCCTAGCACTCAAGAGGCTGAGGCAGGAGGATCGCTGCCAGTTCGAAGCCAGCCTGGGCTACATACTGAGTTCAAGGCCAACGTGAACTACATAAGAGACCCTGTATCAAAAGAAAAACAAAAGTGAAAAACCTTTAATAACAGGTCACACTTCTATACAACCACAGAGGTATTAATACAATGTATTTCTTTTTTCTTCTTATTCTTGCAGTACTACAGATTGAACCTAGAGACCTCTGAGCTATATTCCCACCTCTTATTTTTTTTCAACTTTGAGGCAAGTTCTTGTTAGGCTGGCTTTAAACTTGTGATCTTTCTGCCTCAATTTCTCAAGTAGATGGGATTACAGATGTGCACTAATATATGCATATAAACTCTTTTTGGTGACAAGATTAGCTGTATCAGTTCAGGCTTCCCTTGAACTCACTATGTAGGCCAGGCTGGCTTTGACTCTCAGTGATCTTCCTGCCTCAGCTGCCCACATACTGGGATTATAGGCATATGTCACCATGCCCGGCAGGGCTGAACTTTTTTTTTTTTTTTTTGTCTTTTTGAGACAGACTCTCACTATGCAGTTTAGGCTGACCTTGAGCTCGCTTTGTAGCACAGGCTGATCTCCAACTTGGAACAAAGCTCTTGCCTCAGCCTCCTGACTGCTGGGATTACAGGCATGTGCCAAGGGTTGTACTTTTTAATAAGAGTTATACATTTAGCCAGGTGTGGTGATACATGCCTTCCTCCCACCGCTCTGGGAGGCTGAAGCTGGAGTGTCACAAGTTCAAGCTCAACCTGGACAATTTAGGAACTTTGTAAGACTGTGTCTTGAAGTAAAAAAGGCTGGGGATATAGCTCTTTGTGAGGACCGTGGGTTCAATCATGAGTGTTGCAAAGCAAAACAAAATGAAATGTCGTCCCATTTGAATATTTATTTGTTTTTGTGTTTTAAAGACCTATGAAAATTTTAGTGGAAAATTATAAATCCTAACGAAGCTTTTCACAGAGAAAATATCCCAACGGCCCCAGTTAACCAGGAGATCCTCTTTTTAATGCTGGGCCACTGTTTTTATTCATCTTTAGTGTAAAAAATGTAAACTATTTTTAATGGAGGGTTCATATGGGGTCTATGCACTGCCCTGTGAATTTCTTGTGATCACCAATAAGTTAGTCAAGAAACACAAGTTTTTGAATAGGTGCTACTCATTCATTCTCACAGAGAAGAAAATGTCACAACATAGTAGCTCATATTGTCACAAAAATATGTGATTGTGTTGACACAGAACATACTTTCCTTGCTAAGCATTGTAAGCTGTAAAAAGCTTACATGTTTGTTGAAGTCTTCTAATATTTTGCAAGCTTTGTCAGAGACAGAATTTGTCATCTGATGGACATATCATCAGGTGATTTGGCAACAAAAAAGAAGTAATGTAAAGCTGTAGGCCTGGCAGATCCTGTCTCAGTTGTGCTTTTGTTTTGCTTTTTAGGTATTCCAAATCCTGCTAGAATTCTTGGAACAAAATATTGCCAAGGTTTGGGAATACTTTCTTAGCAAAGTATGGCTACCCCACAATAGTTGTATTGTCTCTGCAGTCTGGTGCTTTTGGATTAACATGCCAGTGAAATTTATTTATTACAAGCCTGTTATTAACACTATGCATAATTATCATACTGTGTTCTCTATAAAGGGTTTTGCTCCTTGAGGAAATGACCCCACCTTACACATTTTTGTATATCTCATACTGTAGTCTTTATTAACTACTTTTTGCTAACATAACTACATATTGAGCTAAATTGAAGTGTTGTTAATGTGTGTGTATATGACTGCTTTTACAACTGGAAGAGTGGATTTTTATTGACACTGTGGCAACAATCCCATTCAAAAGGAGAAATCAGAATGAACTCCCATTCTCTGTATGCATTGAAAGCTGTGGGTTCTTTATAAGGACATGGAAAAAGCTTTACCTACAAACAGTTTGCATTTGCACTGAAAAAAGTTCTAATTTCCCATGTAATTTTTTTCTGTAAAAAGCCTACCAAGAACTTCTGATTCCATACTGTCCAGATTACCATTAAATGTTTCTCAGAAGTCAGCTTTGGCTCATCTCCAAGTGCCAATTGACTTGATGCTGCAACTGTGATCAGCTGTTGAAGATGCAGAAGCCCTAATCATGGATAAATATGCCCCAGCACAGTAGCGTGCCAACCTACGGCACATGTGCTGCAGCAGGCTGTTTGTTATTATTGAAAGCCCTTAAAAGGTTCACCATCACTATCCTAGCAGGGATGTTTCCTGGTACAATTTATTGGAAGCAAAGTTACCAAATCTTATAAACCAAAATGTAATAAGTATGTGAATGCATATGTGGAAATAAATAATTTTCACAGGAATGTACTTTAGACTGAAAATCATTTTTTAACTTGCTACTGCCATCTACTGGTTCGCAACTTTGGACTTCTAGCAAGTGGTATGCAGTAACACATAGCAATAAAAAGGAATTGTGTCTACTTATTTTTTTTTTTGGAATCCCTAAAATATTCTGTGTTGAACATAAGAATCAGAATTTGCATATGATCCATAGTATTACTTTGCAGTATGCTTTTATTTTTTATTGTTTTGTTTTGTTTTGTTTTTCTTCCGGTACCAGGAATTGAACTCACGACCGTGCGCTTGCCAGGCAGGCTCTTTGCTGCTGAGCTAAATCCCCAGCCCCTGTAGTATGCTTTTAGTAAACAAATTCACCAGTCTTCTTTCACTCTTAATAATGTGCTATTTTTGTGTTGGAGTTTCTGATTAAACATTTTTCCTGTCATCCTTTTCCAGTTTAATGGATCGTGAAGTGGCATTGCTTGCCGAAATGGACAAAGTGAAAGCTGAAGCAAGTAAGATGTTTGATCTTTAATTGAAGCTATTATCTGTGACATGAATAATAGGTTCCTGGCTCCCACTCTTCTTAAACAGAAACTCAGTTTGAATGCTACAATAAATATATATATATATTTAGTCAGTCTTTTTTTTTTTTTTGGGCCATACTAAAGATTGAACCCAGGGCTTTTGTACTGATCTACATCTCCAACTCTTGTTTGTTTTGTTTTAATTTTTATTTTATTTGTACATACTTGCAGTACATAATGATTACGTTCATCATAGGGAGTTGTTACTTGTACATAAAATATCCTAATTCTTGTTTTTAATCCCCTTCCCCTCTGTTTCCTCCATTTTTTGGCTCCTTTCCTATTTGCAAAAGATCTACCTTCTTGTTTCCTATTGCCTGTCTTATACTTTGCTCTTTAGTTGTATTTGGGTTTCTTACAAAAGGGAAACTATTCAGTATTTAAGCGTTTGGACAGGCATGGTTGTGCACACCTATAATTTCAGCACTCAGGAGGCTGAGGCAGAAGGATTGCTGCAATTTTGAAGCCATCCTGAAGCCATCCTGGACTATGTAGTGAGTTTAAGACCAGCCTGGACTATAGAAGATCCTGTTTCAAAAAAAAAAATCAGCTTTTGTGTCTGATTAATTTCACTTGACATTATGGTGTCAAGGTATATCCATTTTCCTCTGCATGATTTGGTTATATTCTTCTTTATAGCAGAATAGTACTCCATTATATATAAATGCTACAGTTTTCTCATTAAATCATCTGTTGATGGACATATAGGCCACTTCCAAGATTTAGTTATTATGAATTATTCTATAAGCATGGGTATGCATGTATCATTGTAATATGATGTCTTTAACTCTTTTGGGAAGATACCTAGAAGGAGAATAGCTGGGTTAAATGGAATTTCTATTTTTAGTTTTTGAAAAATCTCCATACTGATTTCCATAGTGGGTTTATTAGTTTAGACTCCCACCGACAATGTAGAAGGGTTCCTTTTACCCTGCAGCCTCTCTAACATTTGTTCTTTTGTTATGTTGTTTGCTTGTTTGAGACAGGGTCTCACTGTGTAGTTCAGGCTGGCCTTGAACTCAATATGTCGCCCAGGCCAACCTCGACCTCACAGCAATCCTCCTGTCTCAGTCTCCCAAATGATGGGATTATACACCACTTTTTTTAAAAGATAAAGAATGAAAACACATAAACAAACTTACATAAACAAAGCAACACCCAAACAATAGAAGCAATATAGAATTTCAGACAAGGTGATAGGAAATTAAATGGTTGTTGTATTACATGTTGTTATCTTCAAATTGGTTACTCAGTTAAAGAAATACAGACATGAATAAGGATCAAATAATTAAACATTAACGGTTCCTTTCAATAAAGCAATAGAAGTCAGTAGTGTGACTCTCAGCTATCCTGTGTGTGTATATATATTTTTTCCCTTCTTTCTTTTTCTCTTTTCTCTCATCCCAGTTGTGCACTCCCTTTGAGCAGTTTCTTTCCCTTTCGCAATATCTATTTTTTTTTTTTTTTATTTTAGAAATAAAAGGAGGAAAATACTAACAGATCGACAACGTTTTACAAAATAGCAAAGGATCAGTACAGACATTACAGAGTTACAAACAGAGTGGTAGGGAATTAACAGTGCTTATTGTATTATATATTGATATCTTCAATGTAGTTTCTCATGAAAACACATATAGACATACAAAGCTAATCAACCAATGCCTCACTGACAGTTTCTTTCAGCAAGGAAATACAGGACAGTAGAACACCTGTGTTAACTATCCTGCATATACATATATACAAACTTTCTCCTTCTTTCCCTTCTCTTTTCCCATATTCCAGTTATCCTTTACCTATGAGTGCTCTCCTATCAATTCCCAATGTCTATCATATCTCCTAGTTTAAATTAACTCTTTCAGGCTTTACACTAGAGAAATAATGCGGTGCTTGCACATGTATGTTTGATTTATTTCGCTTATGAGTATGGTCTCTAGTTCGCAATATCTATTATACCTTTCACATTTTATTTACTCTTTCAGGTTCCTACACTAGTGAGACAATATGGTATTTGCACATGTGGGTCTGCTTTATTTCTCTTATGAGTATGGTCTCTAGTTGCATTCATTGACCTATGAAAGCCTCAAGTTTTATCTTTCTTTTAGCTGAGTAATATTCCATTATGTAAAAGTTCCACATCTTTTTTTAATCCATTCCTCAGTTGATGAGCATTTGGGTTGCTTCCATGATGTAGCTATTACAATTTGAGCAGCTATAAACATGGGTGCACTTATATCCCTGTGATATGATGTTTGTAGTTCTTCCTGTCTGGAAAAATACCCAAAAGGGAAATAGCTGGGTTGAATGGGAATTCTAGTCCTAGTTTCCTGAGGAGTCTCCAGACTGATCTCCACAGTGACTGCACCGGTCTGCACACCCAACAGCAGTGGAGCAGGTTCCTTTCTCCCCACAGCCTCGCCATCATCTGTTATTGGTTGATTTCTTGATGATAGCCATTTTCTCCGGGGTGAGATGGATCTCAGTGTTGTTTTAATTTGCATTTCTGGAATGACTAACGATGTTGAATATTTTTTCATGTATTTGCCATTTGTTTTTCTTCATCTGGGAATTGTGTATGCATCTCAGATGTCCATTTTTGGATTGGGTCTTTAAATGGGGGGGGGGGCTGATTTTTTTGGTTGTTGTTTAGTTCTTTATATGGTCTAGATAGAAGTCCTTTGTCTGAGGGACAGTTGGCTAAAATTTTTTCCCAGTTAGTGGGTTTTCTTTTTACTCTATTGGTGAGTTCTCTAGATGTGCAAGAACTTTTCAATAAGATGAGATCCCAGTTGTTGATTCTTTGCAGTATTTCCCATGCAGTTTGGTTTTTGTTCATGAATTCTCTGCCTACCCCTTTGTCTTCAGGAATTTTACCTACTTTCTCCTCCAATAGATTGTGTTTCTATTTTAATATTTAAATCTTTGATCTATTTTGATTCGAGTTTGCTGCATGGTAATAGACTTAGATTCAGTCTTTGGCATGTGGTGAGCCATTTTTTCCAGCACCATTTACTTTTTTTGGTTTTGTTTTTCTGGTACCGGGAATTGAACTCACAACCTTGTGCCTGCCAGGCAGGCACTGTGCCGCTGAGCTAAATCCCCAGCCCCTGCACCATTTATTAAAGAGGCTTTCTTCCAGTGAACTTTTTCGGTCCCTTTGTCAAAAATAAGTTGGCTGAGTGTGTTTGTGGTTGTGGCTGCACCTCCCAGTCAGTTCCACTGATCCTCAGGTCTGGTTTTTTTGCCAATACCACACTGGTTTTACCACTGTGACCTTGTACTATAATTTTAAGTCAGCGATTGTGATGCCACCTGACTTGTCTTTGTTGCCCAGGATTGCTTTTGCTCTTCTGAGTCTCTTCTGGTTCCAGATGAATTTTAGGAATGTTTTCTGTAGATCTGTGAGGTATGCTAATGTTGTTTTAATTGGAATTCCATTGAATGTGTACAGCAATGGGAGTATGGCCATTTTCACAGTGTTGGTTCTTCTAATCCATGAGCAAGGAATACCTTTCCATTTTCTGAACTCTTCTTCAGTCTCCTTTTTCAGAGTACTGCAGTTTTCACTGTAAAGATCTTTCACTTCTTTTGTTAGATTGATTCCTAAGTATTTCAGGTTTTTGGATGCCATTGTGAAAGGTATGGTTTCCTTAATTTCTCTCTCAGTGTGTTGGTTGTTTGTGCATAGGAATGCTGTTGATTTCTGAGTATTGACTTTGTATCCAGCTACAGTACTGAATTTGTTGATTAATTCTAGGAGTCTTCTGGTGGAGTTTTTGGTGTCTTCCATGTAGAGTATCATGTCATCTGTGAATAATGATAATTTCACTTCTTCCTTTTGTATTCATATTCCTTTTATATCTCTCTCTTGTCTAATTGCTCCGGCTAATGTTTCCAGTACTACATTGAATAGGAGTGGTGACAGTGGCCATCCTTGTCTTGTTCCTGATTTTAAAGTTAAAGCTTTCAGCTTTTGTCCATTTAGTATGATGTTGGTTGTTGGTTTGTCGTAGATGACTTTGACCATCTATACCTATATTCTGTAGGGTTTTTATCATGAATGAGTGCTGGGTTTATAGATGTGTTCCACCATGGCCAGCTGTTTGTTCTTATTTGATTTCTTGATGACAGCCATTCTGTCTGGAGTAAGACGGAATCTCAGTGTTATTTTAATTTGCATTTTTTGCAGAGATATTGAACACTTTTTCATGTATTTACTTTTCCTTTGCAGAGCAAAAGGTTTTTAATTGAATATGATCCCATTTGTTGATTCTTGAGGTTATTTATTGTACAATTGAGGTTCTGTTCAGAATGTCCTTGCCTATGCCTGTCTTAAAGAATTTTACCCATTTTATCTTCAGCAGATGGTTTCTATTTTAATATTTAGATCTTTGATCCATTGTTTTAGTTTACTAAGAGGTAAATAATGGATCTTTGATCCATTACTTTAGTTTAGTACATTTTCTGTATGTGGATAACCAGTTTTCCCAGCACCATTTGGTAAAGACACTATCTTCCCTCCAGTGTATATTTTTGGCCTCTTTGTCAAAGATCAGATAGCCGATTTCCTAGGTTTGTTTCAGCGTCCTGTATTCTGTTTCACTGATCCACATAGCTGTTTTTGTGCCAGTACCATGCTGGTTTTTCTGTTTGTTTTTTTGTACCAGGAATTGAACTAAGGACCTCACGCTTGCAAGGCAGGCACTGTGCTGCTGAGCTAAATCCCTGGTTCTGTCATGCTGTACTTTTTTTTTTTTTTTTTTTAAATCACCATAGCTTTGGAATATAACTTGAAGTCAAGGATTGTGATGCCTCTTGCTTTGCCCAGAACTACTTTTGCTATTCTGTGTCTTTCCTGGTTCCCTATGAATTTGAGAATTTTTTTTTCTAGCCCTGTGAGGAAAGCTGTTGGTGTTTGGAATGGAACTTCA